TTGCCTTGTGGAGGGAGACGGGGCGGTATGACGGGTAGCCGTCATCGGCTATCTGGCTGCTGGCAGACGTGGGGCTGCATTGCTACACAGCAGCAGCTCCTAGCCTTTTGGCAGTGGATGGTGTATTACGACTCATAGTGTAGACCAGGCCTTAGTTCTGCCTTCCCCTTCCCTTTGAATCAGGTACTGAGCAATGGGCTAGCCAGCACAGCTTAACCAGTGTGGAAAAGGCAATCATTTGCTGCTGGCGTGGACCAGTAACAGATGACCGCCACTTGAGCTGAGCAGAGAAAGGTAATTCCATTTTGTGGAGGATTTCAAAATTTGGTTTCATTCCAATTTAGAATGAAAACCAAAAGCTTTGAAATTCTCTGTGACGGGAAGGGAATCTCCAAGCTGTGGACACTTTAAGTCCGGGAATCCCCACTCCCAGGAGTCCAGCTGGTGAGCTGCCTGGAGCCTGGGAGCCTGGGCAGCCAAAGAACTGGGAGACTGGAAGCCTGGGCTCCCCAGCGGTATTTGAACTCATTCCTAAACTCCTAATAACTGAGCCTTGGTCTACACTATGAGTTTAGGTCGAATTTAGCAGCGTTAGATTGATTTAACCCTGCACCCGTCCACACGACAAAGCCATTTCTGTCGACTTAAAGGGCTCTTAAAATTGATTTCTGTACTCCTCCCCGACGAGAAGATTAGCACTGAAATCGACCCTGCTGGGTCGAATTTGGGGTAGTGTGGACGCAATTCGACGGTATTGGCGTCCGGAAGCTATCCCAGAGTGCTCCATTGTGACCACTCTGGACAGCACTCTCAACTCAGATGCACTGGCCAGTTAGATGGGAAAAGCCCCGCGAACTTTTGAATTTCATTTCCTGTTTGGCCAGCGTGGTGAGCTGATCAGCACAGGTGACCATGGAGTCCCAGAATTGCAAAAGAGCTCCAGCATGGACCGAACGGGAGGTACTGGATCTGATCGCTGTATGGGGAGACAAATCCGTGCTATCCAAACTCCGTTCCAAAAGACAAAATTCCAGAATATTTGAAAAAATCTCCAAGGGCAGGAAGGACAGAGGTTATAACAGAGACCCGCAGCAGTGCCACGTGAAATTTAAGGAGCTCAAGCAAGCCTACCAAAGAACCAGAGAGGCAAACGGCTGCTCCAGGTCAGAGCCCCAGACATGCAGCTTCTATGATGAGCTGCATGCCATTCTAGGGGGTGCCCCTACAACTACCCCACCCCTGTGCTTCCCTCTTCACCCACCCCTCCAGGGCTACCTTGGCAGTTATCCCCCCATTTGTGTGATGAATTAATAAAGAATGCATGAATTTGAAACAATGACTTTATTGCCTCTGCAAGCGGAGATTAAAGCGGGGAGGGGAGGGTGGTTGGCTTACAGGGAAGTAGAGTGAACCAAGGGAGCGGGTTTTCATCAAGGAGAACTTTCACTCAAACTAACATGAGATTTCCCTTGTTTTCTCTCTTTCATGGGTTCAAGCTAGCAAAAACTCTGAGGCTTTACAACAGAAATCTGAGATTCTATAGCTCCACAGAGTAAATGTTACATTGTAAACTGCCTCCTTATTTATTCTGCTATATCTCTTCCATCTCACTTACTTTTTCCACTTGATGAAGCAGGGGGTTGCATGGGGTGAAGTGGGGTGGTGAGATTAAAGCTTCCAAGAGGACTTTGAATTGTAGAACTAGACCTTCTGCAGGTGTACATTTGGGTAGTTATTACAGCTAAAGTATGACAGGTTATACCAGCTGAAGGTTTGGATTGTAAAGCTGAAAAACTGAGGCAAGATGATCAGTTGCAGAGCTGTTGAGTCTGAACTTTTGATGAGCTTAAACTTAACCCAGACTTGATGTCTCTGTCTGAACTTTTAATCAAAGCTCTGACCTGCGAACTACTCATGACACCCCCTCCCCTTAAGTAGCCATCTCCCCTTTTGTCTTTTTGAA